CCTCCTCTTCAGAAACAAAGCTATTATTTCCTCATCTCTAAGCAGATCAGTTCTTCAAGTCTGACACGAAGTGTATATGCTAAACAGAGATGTGGTCATTTCATATCTGCTGGAGTACTGTCAAGGTTTTAAGTGTGAGGGAAAAGCAGAAGGGCATGAACTATCAATGAGGTCAGTTTAGTAAAAAGTGTTTTTGCAAGAATGGAAGTTTAACAAATATATATTGCTTTATATATTTTACTTGAAAATGAGGAAAGGCTCTATTTTATCGTAGAAATAGTTTTTGGAGAAATATTTTTCTTCAGTTTACAGCAAACCAGCTATTTAATAATTTAATAAATATGAAGATAACATTGATCACTCAATCACAGAAGACTCTGAAAAGAAAATGCAGTGAAAATTTTGGAATATGAAGGAGATAAGAGGAGTATTTCACCTGTACTTTCCTGAGACTTTTACTAAGAGCTAAATGCAGTGAGGGAAGGTTACAATGATTTAGGATTGCCACAAAACTAGTCTTGCCTGAATCATATGATAAAGTAGTATATGACCAATGTCATACATTTTAATTATGCAATGGGAGTTTTATCTGGTGGAGTATGTTTGATGAAATTCTTTTCTTTTTCAAGTATATCTTATTTTGGATCATTTAACTTTAATGTCATTGTCTTCAGCCCAGATTTAATGAAAGCAATAAAGCTTGAATGTAATATTTTACTCAGAAGGCCTTTCTTAGGATATTCCATATAGAGGCCATTTTCCTTATTAAAAGGGAAACACTCGCACTGCCTTAGAGCTCTTAAAGTGAAGTGGAAGACACTTTTCCAGATATGAACTTCATATTGGCCTACAATTTGTTTGCCCATCTCTTCTCTCCACAAACAAAAGCATGTCTCACATATTTCACCTTTGTCCATTTTTCTTGCTATAACCAGGTACCTTTCAATTTTCACGTTCAAAATTGTCAACTTTCTTAACTTAATCTTAGACATAATGAAATATTTGAGTTTCTGCTACAGAGTTCGGAGCTTAAGTCCAGACACAAGCTAATGGCTTAAAGGAGCTTACTGAAAAAAACATTTCTTTCATGAAGAGAAAGATATAGAAAACTTTACAGAATATTTAATGTCTCTTCATCCACAAAGGAACTTAACTATTTGCACATTTGATGTAGACTAAGAAGTTTAATGTGTAAAACAAGTGACAAAAGGCAAAGGTCTACAGAACCTTAATCTGTAGTATACATCAGCTTAATAAGAAAGAAATACAATGATTCACACACAAACAGTAGCACAGAGTATAGTCCAGTCGTAAAGTACTTTTCTAGTTTGCAAGAGGTCATAGGTTCTTATGAAACAGAGTTTACAGAAAAATACTAATTCAGTAAAAAGAATGCATTAAACTAATATATGAAATATTTAAACATGCAGAGCTTACATAAGAAAGAACAAGTAAAAAAACATAGCTGCATTATTTGAAAAAAGGACAGTTAGTACTTGCTAGGGGAAGGGGTGCTACTTTATTCTCTGGTGTGACCATATACAATTTGCCCATGTTCTAGAAAATAACCTTCCATTCAGGCTTATGCAGAAATACCATTTAAACTCAGTGAGTCATACATGTTCAAAAGATTTAAAAGTAGATGATCACTTTCAGGGAAGAAGTTTAGCCTTGTGGTGATGGTGCATCTCACATCGTTTGAGTGGGTTTCCAAAGTCCCAGGCCAGAAGCTCAATTCTGGGGAGAGGGAAATCCCAATAAATCATATCCAGCATCTCACTCCCAGAAAGCAAAGGGAAACAGTAATGCTTAACGCAGGAAATAAATGTAATACTTAACATAATCATATGAGACAACATGACAATAATCTTTATCTCCATTTGGGGGCAACTGGATTAAACAGGGGAAGAACTGAAACAGGATTATGCATAAGTACGAGCTTGTTCAGACTGTGGTCTAGTTGAACTTTTTCCCATTCTTATTATAAGGGGACTCTGAGGATCATTGTTTGAAGGAGCAAGCAAATGTTGCTTGTTCCATCCTGAAATGGTTGCTCTTTCATAGTATAGCAGGCTATATTCTCGTTATGGGGCAGTTGTTCCCATATAGGGCCCCTGTTCTCATTACTGGGCAGTTGTTCTCATTTATGGGGTGTTTCTCTAATTAGAAAGAGCAATTTCATAAAGAAGTTACCAGTGTGACTGCAAGTTTCAGGTAATGACTTGAGAATTTTTTAGTATATTCCAGAGGTCAGGGGAAAAATGCTGTAAATACCTCTACAATTTTTGAAACTTTAGTTACTATCATGGTATCTTCAGCCTTGCAGGAAGGACATTATCAGTTTTTTTAATAAATATTCCTTAAATGACTAACATACCCACATGCAGAGATGAGCAGAAATCTGACTGTAATAAGGCAGATACAAAATAAATTTATAAATGCTAAAATATCTCAACAACACCAGAGGTAGTTATAATGTTTCTCCTAATTACAATATCAGGGACACTGTTTTGATTGTGTGATAAAATGCAGGATCTTTCTGTTTTATGTTCTAGTGAATGTTGTGATCTACATAAAACTAAGAAGCAGCAGCAAATCTCTCTTGTTAATCAAGCCTATTTGATGTTAAGGCAGTGTGACCAAACTCCGGAGGGAAGCATGATTTGACCTTGCTAGAATTGGCCTAATGGTAGAAAAGAACTTCATATTAAATTCCCCGAAGTCGAGAAAACCTGTCACAGATAACTTTTTATGAGGAGTTTAAAATGTCAAAGCAAAGGTTGTAGTGTCATCTACAAAGAGCAAGGGGTTTGATGGAAATCTATATTACATAGTTTCAGTACAGATTTAGGCTGCATGGAAAAGTCAGGAACTTCTCTGGGCAGGTGCCAATGCAGAAGTTTGGATCCAATTTTCCTATTGTGATATTGGTGATTGCCCCTGAATATTAAACTTTATATTTATAAAAAAATCTGCAAAGTAGCCTGGCTACTTGACTCCTATTCTGTCATCACATTGACCCATCATCCACAGTGACATCACATTAGAACTTTAGTAACTCATGTTACTTAACCCTAAAGATTTCATACTACGGGATTTTAGTTATAGCGGAGAAACTCTGTTATTTCTAGCAAAGAAAAAGAGTATCTTTTGAATACAATGAAATTGAGACATAATCCAAACAAGAATGTGTTGTTGAATTTTCTTTTACTCTAATCCCATGTTGGAATGCTAAAATGTTGATATTTGTTTGTTTGTTTTTGCCTTTGGCTTTTTGGGAGACCTGTGACCCAGCTCCCAAATAAATCACACACAGCGAGACTTACACTTTCTTATAAATGTCCGGCCTTAGTAGGCTTGTTTCTAGCCAGTTTTTCTTAAAATTTCCTACATTTTCCCTCTGCTTTTACCTTTCTCTATTTCGGTTTTCTTGCTTTCACTCTTACTCCATGACTGGTTGGGTGGTTGGGTGGCTGGTCACTGTCATTCTCCTCTCCTTGTTCTCTCTTGCTCCTTTTTCTTTTCCCAGAGTTCTCCTCCTGTTTATACTCTATACTTCCAGCCCCATCTATCCTTTCTGCTGCCTTACTATTGGCTGTTCATCTCTTTATTAGACCATCGGGTGTTTTAGATTGGCAACAAATCATAGCTCCACAGAGTTAAACAAATGCAGCATAAAAAAAGGAACACACCTTTAAATAATTTTCTACATGAATAATGAGTGATTAAGTAATTGGAAAGTTACTCTGTAGATGTGTAGTGGCCACTTTTGTTATTACTGTGATAGCAAGCCTTACTGAAAGGGAAGACTGATTTATTTTGACTTATGGTTCAGAAGATATCAATATTAATAAATCCATCCAACTGCAAGGTTACTGGACTGATCTTGCTCTTCGGTGGTGAGAATGCTGGGTAGGTGTTATAAAATGTCAACAAAGTATTAGATGTATCCGACACACTGGAAGCAAGACCATCTACAAGTCTAAAGCCCTACCTCCAGGCAATCTACCGCCTTTAGCAGAATCACACATTCTAAAGCAACTGTTCTCAAACTTCCTAATGCTGTGACCCCTTAATACACTTATTCATGTCATGGTATCCCCCAACTATAAAATTATTTTCATTGCTATTTCTTATCTATAATTTTGTTACTGCTATGTAACATAAGTTAAATATCTGTTATGCAAATGGTCTTAGGTGTGAAAGGGTCATAGGACCTCCAAAGGGGTTGTGACCCACAGACTGAGGGTTACTGTTTTAACTGTTGTACAACCTCCCCAAACATGTCACCACCTAGAGACTAAATATTTATTTATAATAAACATATAAACCTGTAGGACACACATTACATAGAAATCACGGCACAGTTATGACACCTCCCTCCTCTTTGTAGTAAATCAATCCCAATATATACATTAATCCCATTCTAGGACAAATTCATGATTCATTGCAATTCTCAATGAGTAAGGGATCTGACTTCCAGGCCACATACTTCTGAAGCAGGATCAGGAAAACGTTCACATGCTTAATATAGTTTTTCTTTTCATTGGGTTCACTTGTTTATTTTTATTTTATATTTAAGTTCTAAGAAATTTCTATCAAAAACTTTACTCATTCTAAAATGAATAATATTATGGTTAATACATAAAGCATGCTGAAATGTATTATCAAAAATGGGAAGTAGATGCTAGAGAAATGACTCAGAGGTTAAGAGCACATGCTGTTTCGGGAGACCTAAATTCAGTTTTTAGCACTCACATTAGACAGTTTACAGTTGCCTATCACTTCAGCATCAGAGGATCTGATGCCTTCTTCTGGCTTCTTTGGGCACACACACACACACACACACACACACACAATAAAAATAATAAATGAGAAAAAATATTTCCCTGATTCTTCAATATATCTTTCTTTGTTCAAGTCCTACCAGCTTCTTGGGGGACATTCAGGAAGCATTTTCCCACTACCTTTCCCGTCCTGACATGTGTGCTCATTTTCAGAGCTGGAGGCTGAGGAGTGGTGCAAACACCTTTGCATGGAATGCCTGGGGACAAGGCTGAACGACATCAGCCTAGGGGAGCCTGACCTACTGGCTGCAGGCGTGCAGCGGGAACAGAACGGTGAGTGACTGCCTACTTTTCTACTGTGTCAGGTGGACTTACATCGGAGTGGAGTTCATTGATGTCTGAGAACGTTCATGCTTTGAAGAGTTTAATGATATGACTGCTGATGATAAACAAATTCCTGTGAAAGTCACACAGGCAAAAGAATGAGCAGAACAAGCTGGAAGTGATGGGTGGGTTATAAAAAATAAATGAAGATATACAGTTTGGTGGTTATAGAGTCTGGGAAGAGATGGGGGAGGGGAGTGAATATAATCAAAACACAATATATGGGATTCTTAGAGAATTACTAAAAATATTGAAAAAAGAAAACAACTTTATCAACAGGTTGTTCAGAAATTTTTAGTGATGTAGCAACTAGAGAAAGTTCTAATATTCAATCCAAGTTCCTGGTTTCTTGTTAGTGACAAAGCCATATGCCTAAAAACTTAGGTAGGTATTATGCTGCGTACATACGGCCTTTGAATGAGTGACATTTTTATCTCCTTCTTTGATGTCTAATATACATTAAATGATTATATTAACAAATTTGGATTGTCTTTTTGTTAAATCTTTTAGAGTATTTTGGCTAGTAATATGACTTGTGGGAAGGTAGTTTATGTGTTTACCTAATACAAAACTGCTTAATTTCACGGGGGTGTCTGCAATCTCATGATAATTCAAGTTTCATAGTCTTAATTAGTACTGCTAATGAAACCAGCTTCATCTGCTAAGATACTGCCCAATGGAATATTGTAGGCTATATCTGCAATGACTTTTAATTCATCATCAGTACATTTTATGTAACTGAAAAATTATTATCACAAGTATTGTAACCTGTGTGGTGATTATTCATTTGAAAAATTCTGAGGTTAAAACTGCTTTTTCTAATATAATTAACCTACAATAATGACTTTTATCTCAATTTGATAAATAACTCATTTCGTTTTATTTCAATGTTAAGATTTATTTTATTATTGTAAGGTATAGATAGTTTTAAACATCCTTGATTAAGATTATTATATACATTGGACACTAAAATATGTATCATTTGACTAAATGACAATTTTTTTCATTTCTAGATTTGTTGCTTGTGTTAATGATAAATCTAGAATCACAAAAGTAGAAGTTTTCTATGATGTTCAATTTGTATCATAGATGAAGCTAGGTCCAGCTTTTTAAAAGAATTTGTAACATATAAATTAATAGTCCTGGTAAAAGCATGTCATGAGAGCCCTTGGTAATTATAATGTTGTTACACGTTGTTAACAAACATCATTATCTCATAGTCTATAAAAAAGACTGTGTTTTTGTAACTAAAATGAGAAACCAAATAATTTCTTTATGATTGATCAAAAATGTATATACATATAAATTTATATTTATATGTCAGATGCTGCCTTTTTTGGATAGATTTTAGAATCATCAAAAATTTTTGCAACTCTTGTTGCCTGCATTATTTGGTACTAGATTCTAAATCATATATAATTTTTCTAAATATAATGTGTTTTATTGTCAAGTGCAATTTACACTTTTTGGGACCGTTTGCAGTCCTGACCTCCAGCTGCTCTTCCCTGGTAGTGACTTTTCCTTGGCCTTCTGATTTGTGCTACTGAAAGCTGTGTCCAGCTCTGCTTCCTGAGCACGTGTTGCCTTGTCCTTGATTGAGGATCAGGAGATGAGGTTTTCACCTGCTGCCCCACCTGACTGTGTTGGGTATATAAGCCTCTGTGGAGTTATTCAATAAGGGTTTCTTTACCAGCGACTAGAGGTGTGTGTCTCTGTCTGTGCCGTCTCTGTGTGTCTTTGTGTGTTTCAGTCTCCAGCCCCTTGCCCGAGGCTCACAAATGGTCCTGTAGTTCAGGCACAGCAATACAGGAGTAGTACCGCACTGTTACGTAATATAAGCAGGCGCTACATACACTGCACCTTTCCTTCTGAGCAATATGGACTATAGGCTTGCAGACTCGACATAAAATACCAAAACTTTAATGAATTTTGTGGTGATCTACACTATTCTTTAATGAAGGAAAGATGAACTACTTTGTTTTTGACTGCTTCAATATTTTTTTTTTTGCTTTCAAATTGCTATTCCTCTACTATTATCCTAACTCTTCATAGAATTTGATCTTATTTACTTCTAGGCTAGCTAAGAATAGATATTTATGGAAATAATTTTAAAGGTGAAAGAAAATATGGGTGCTAGATAAAAGTGGTTGTTAAATTCTTTACTGTGATTATCTTATCTCTTGCTGTCAACTGCTTTCACGGTGACTCAAATACACCTCTCTCTCTCTCTCTCTCTCTCTCTCTCTCTCTCTCTCT